CCATATGCTACTCACCAAAGTAGAATGTAGAACATTCTCTTTAAAAACTATGTTATGCCAACAGAGCCAGATGTTCCCTGAGACCATGGTCCCCACAGCCCAGTAATTCATTCCCTCAGCGAGTTTGGATGTGTCTATGGAGTTTCCATGACGTTGCCTTGTATAAGTTATGCTGGATTCCCCAGTATTGTGTACTGTCTTACCCTTCACCAGAATTACCACTTATCTATTGCTATTTAGTGTTTTTCCAACACCCCCCTCCCCCCCTTGTAACCATCAAAGATTGTTTCTTTTTGTGCGTAAGCCTTTTCATGAGTTTTTATAGTAATGATCTTACACAATATTTGTCCTTTTGTGATTGACTTATTTCACTCAGCATAATGTCCTCCAGACTCATCCATGTTGTGAGATGCTTCACAGATTCATCATTGTTCTTTACCGTTATATAGTACTCCATTGTGTGCATATACCATAGTTTGTTTATCCATTCATCTGTTGATAGGCATTTAGGTTGTTTCCATCTTTGTGCTATTGTAAACAATGCTGCAATGAACCTGGGTGTGCATATGTCTATTTGTATGACGGCTCTTATTTCTCTAGGATATATTCCTAGGAGAGGGATTGTTGGATCGTACAGTATTTCTATTTCTAGCTTTCTAAGGAAGTGCCATATTGTTTTCCAAAATGGTTGTACCATTTTGCATTCCCACCGTAGTGCATAAGAGTTCCAACCTCCCCGCAGCCTCTCTAACATTTGCTATTTTCTGTGTTTTTGATTTGTGCCATTAATACCAGGGTGAGATGGTATCTCATTGTGGCTTTAATTTGCATTTCTCTAATGGCTAGTGATCATGAGCATTTCCTCATATGTCTGTTAGCTGCTTGAATGTCTTCTTTGGTAAAGTGTCTGTTCATATCATTTGCCCATTTTTTTTTTTTAGATTTTTTATTGTTGTAGTTTAGGTGAAAGTTTACATTTTAAGTTAGTCTCTTATACAAAAATTTATGCATACATTGTTAAGGGACCCTAATTGCTCTCCCTATACTGTGACAGCACACTCCTTTCCACCCCTGATTTCCCATGTCCATTCAACCAGCTCCTAACCCTCTCTGCCTTCTCATCTCACCTCTGGACAGAAGCTGCCCGTTTAGTCTCATGTATCTACTTGCGCTAAGAAGCACACTCTTCACAAGTCTCATTTTATGTTCCGCAGTCCAGTCCAATCTTTGTCTGAAGAGTTGGCCTCAGAAATTATTTTAGTTCTGGCCTGATAGAGAGTCCGGGGGCCACGCTTTCCCGGGTTCCTCCAGTCTCAGTCAGATCATTAAGTCTAGTCTTTTTACTAGAGTTTGAGTTCTGCACCCCACCTTTCTCCTGCTCCATCAGGGACTCTCTGTTGTGTTCCCTGTCAGGGCAGTCATTGGTGGTAGCCGATCCTTTGCCCATTTTTTAATTAGATTATTTGTCTGTTTGTTGTAGAGGTGTTGGATTTTCCTATAGATTTTAGAGATTAGACTTTTGTTGGATTTGTCATAGCCAAAAATGCTTTGCCAGTCTGTAGGTTCTCTTTCCACTCTTTTGGTAAAGTCTTTCGATAAGCATAAGTGTTTAATTTTAAAAGATCCCAGTTATCTAGTTGGCTGTAATCTTTAGGAAAGCAGATCACCAGGTCTTTCTTCCATGGCATTACTGGATGCGTTCAAACTGCCAACCTTTAGGTTAGTAGCTGAGTGCAAACCACTTGCACCACCCTGGGACCTTAACCTCATGCTTTTATTTAGGGGGAACCTGAGATCCAGAAAAGGAAAATGACTTGACCAAGTCACGCAGCATACAGCACATGGAACTTTTTTGCCCAGTGCTGTTACCAGGTCTCCGTATGTCTTTAACATGGAGACAGGACGGCTCTGGGCACCTAATGGAGCCAGGGAGGGAGAAGCGGTAAAGCTGGAGAAAAGGTCTTTCTGCTTTGTGTCCTGCCCCAGCCGAGTGGTCCTGTACTTGTCACAGTCTGGTGTCCTTTGCTCTCCTCCCCTTGTCCCTGGAGGAAAACAACAGTGGTGTTTAGCATTCAAGCTGGACCTACCTCTGGCATCTGCTTGTTTGTTTAAATTCTGTGGCACAGACATGCTGTCCCAGAAGGAGGGGAAGCCAGTGCAGGGCTCACTCCCTGAGGGAACGGCATTGTCCCTATGGGCTTTGGCTAGGAATGTTTCCAAAGAAGCCCTAATCCCCTGCCCTGCCTAACCTCAATGTCTGTATCACCCAGAGGATCAAGGGGTGGGCTAAGGCGAGCCATCAGAATCCTCCAGACCTCGATTCTTCTGCCTGGGACGATGGCCTGCTCTCTAGCCCCCTCCACTCAGCTGTCTAAACTTCTACTCTTCTATGAAGACTCATGTCATGTGTCACCTCTTCAAGGAAGCCTTCCCAGGCTCCCCCCACCCATGCCCCCAGATAATTCCCATTTTTAGTTTACTCTTTCAGTTCCCCTCCAGGCAGGGAGCCCCTTCCATATTGTTGTAGCCCCAGGGCCCAGCCTAAAGCGGGGCTTGTAAGCTAAGTTTAATAATTGCTTGAGCATCCTGTGCCACCTCCTGCAGGATGCCCTTCCTGATACCCATTCCAGCCAGTATGTCTGCTCTGCCTTTGAACCTTTGTAACACTTTTTGCCTCTCCCAGGGCCTACTTCCCATCTTGCTCTGATGTAGATCTGTGTACATTTATCTGTGTGCAACAACTTTCTAAGGGAGGTTTTTTCACTCCTCTTTTACAGATGAGGGAAACTGAGGCTCAGAGAGCTTGAGTGACCCGCCTAAGGTCACACAGTTACAGAGTGGCAGAGCCAGTAGTATGACTTGGGTCCATTTGGCTCCTAAGTCCCTACACTCTCCACTGTCTACTTAAGTGTCCCTGTATCTCTTATAACATCAGCCCCAGTGCCCGGTACCTGGTGGGCTATGGGAAATATTCACAAATTGGATAGAAGTTCAGCTCTCAGGCAGGGCCCAGGTTGAGAGGGAGGATGCAGCTCTGAGACTTTAGTTGCCACCTCTTTATCAATCGGCCATCATTACCCAAAGTCAAACCTCCAGATGGGGCTGTGATATTGACACTGGAAAAGAGGCCCTTCTTCCTTGCTTTCTCTTTGTTTTTCTAACACTTTGTTGCAAAGACCTAGAGAAAGGCGGGGGTGGGGGGGTGGGGGGAGGGAGAGAACCCAATTCTCTCCCCTTCAATTCAACAAGCGTGTATTCCTGCCCTTCCTGGGATCAGTGTCATGCTAGGCCTCTGGGGATCAGGGATGGGGTGAGGGAGAAGACCTTCCTTCTATCACAGTGAAACTACTTGGAGAAATGTCTAGACAACAGCAAGAGCCGGCAACCCTCTCCTCCCCTTCTCTCCCTCTTCAGGAGGGGTTCTATCCCTTCATCCACGGGCTTCGAGATTAACTGCCCACACATCCACACAGGTGACAGCCTCCCTCAACATCAGAGGTGACAGGACGTCAGGACAAAGTACAACTATTGTGCCTAGGGCCCGATCACTGCTTCCTTTGTTTGGGGCCACTGCTGGCTCCTGGCTGCCTTTCACGCTCTTTTCCACCCACCCTGCCCCTCTCTCCCCTTCCCCGTTCACCTGGAACACCTTGCCCTTTGAGGCAGCTAAATGTCTTCCCCTTCCTCCTTGGCTCCTTGTGAACTGCCTTCAGAGCCACCCCAGTCCTGAGATGGAGCCTTCTAATTGGGGGCTGAGGTTGTCCCTTGAGAGGGACTCAGAAGGACTTGTCTGGGCTCTCGACTGTTCTCTGTTCCATCCACCCACACACACACATTGCTGGGTGACCTTGGGCATTTCTGTCCCCTCTCTGGGCCTTTGAGGGATTTTCTGGGGGGACAGTCTTCCCTGACACTCCCTACCCTACAGTGACCTGGAAGGGTGGATAAGGGGAATTAAAGTTGTTGAATGAGATTAAACTCATGGGAAGAGAGGGTGCTACTGAGACACAATATGGTCTTACTGTTGTTGCTTTTTTCTCCTAAATTTTATTTATTTTGTTGTTATTGTTGAGAATAAACACAGCGAAATATACACCAATTCAACAGTTTCTACCTGTACAGTTTAGTGACGTTGATTACGTTGTTTGAGTTGGGCAACCATTCTCATTCTCCTTTCTTGAGTTGTTCCTCCTCCACTAACATAAATTCATGGCCCCCTAAGGTTCCTATCTAATCTTTCCAGTTGCTGTAATCACTTTGATCCTATATAGATAGCTCTTCAAAGAGCATGATGCTCAAGGCAGACTTTTTTACGAGTTAAGCTAAAGTATTGTTTGCTTTTAAGATGATTTTAAGAGATATTTTTGGTTTAAGATTTAAAGATTATCTCAAGGCAATAGTTTCAGGGGTTCATCCACCTTCCAGGGCTCCAGAAAGTCTAGACTCCATGAGAATTTGGAAATTTATTCTGAATTTTCCCCTTTTATGATTGTTGTGTTGCATTTCTTGTTCTGCGTATTTCTTGTTCCCTTCTTTGAAGGTCCACGTGAGTAGGGATTTCAATTTGGTGACAATGTGGGCCTTGGCTGGGTCCGCCATAGCATGTTATTGTGAAGGCTGGTGACAGCACTTCGGGGGATAGGATCTTGAGCCAAAGTCTTCTCTGAGTCACCCCAGGTTGTGTTCCCAAGCTTTCTGAAGACTGGAGGTAGAAGGCTCATCCTCACTAGTGAAGGGTGCTCAAAAATTCCTCAGGCCAGGTTGCAGTCCTACTCCTATATTCTGGGAAGTCTGCTCCCTCACTGCCCTGGTTCCCTGGGCAGGCCCTACGGAGGGAACCTCAAATTGGTTGTTGTAACAAACCTTGCTGATTACAACCATGGGGGATGGTTGGTTCAGGTGAAGGAGAACCCCAGGGCTATGAAGTGTTAGTTGACGGCTGGCATTTTCCTTCCCTTTCGCCCCTCCTTGGAACTCCTCCAGCCTCCTTCCAATTTCAGCATCCTTACTAAGACCCTCCTCTTCAAGCCCATTGTGTCTCTAGGGATTGAGGAAGGCTTAGATGAGAAGATGAGAAAGGATGCAGGTGAGGGGGCCAGAGGGGGCCCTCTGTGCGTGAAGCCTCTGCCTTGGGCTAGGCCTGCCCCAGATGAGGGAGGGGGACCCCTTCCAAGGTGCTCACACCTTGTGCTTAGCGGTGCTAGAGGTAGACCCAATTGCACAAGGAGGAAGTTAGTGGTTTCCCTTCCACCTCCACTTGACGCCTTGAAAGTGTGGCACCCTGGCTGGGTGAGGAGGCCTGCCTAGGGGGTGGGGGGGACCCTAAGCCAGGAAACATACATTCACTAGCTGTGAAAAGACCTTGTCCCCAGCTGTTGGGGGCCTGCCAGCTGATGAGATGGGATTGGAGGCATACATGATTGAAAGGGTGGGATGGGGTGAGTGGGAGCCGGTCCCATTCATCACAGGGGCCTCAGAATAGCACTCCTGTAGAATTGGAGTACCAAGGGGGTAAGCTTATGCTGAGGCAGGAGGCTGGCTGAGTAACCTCCTTGGATCATTTTAGTCAAATTCAGGGAAATTGCTACATTCCTATTCTCAGCCTAGTTCCCTTCAAGGGGACTACATCAGCCCCAGCCCAGGCCCTGGCTAAATCTGGCTGAATAACGAGCCTGGTTGGTCCCACTCTTCCCACAGGTATCAGAGCCCCTCTTTATTCCCTGGGGGGGCCTGGGAGCAACTGAGCTAAAGCCCAACCAGGAATTTTCCCAGGCCGGTCCCTACATGCAAGAGTGGGATGAGGGGCCTTGGAGAGCACTTAAGGAAGAAAGCATGGGGAGTTGGGGGGTTGGAGAAGAAGGAGGATTTGGGAGAAGGTAACAAAGTAAGGGAAAGACGGGGAGAGGATTTGAGCTGGTGGAAGCAGCCAAGAGATCTTGGGGGAATAAGGGGGCTAAGGAGAACCTTCAATTCTGTTCAGAAGGTTAGCTGAGAGCCTGGGCTGGGGCCGATAGACAGAAGCCTTGGCCCCCAGCCTGGTGGGAGCTGTGGGCAGCTGGCCTACAGACGTCCCTTAGTGTTGGTGGGTAGGTTTGAATCATCACTCAGGCCCTTCTTCCATCTGCCCCCACCAGGCCCCTGGCCTCAGTTTCCTGGCAACATCTGGGAAGAGGGGGCAGCAGGAACAAGGGCCTCTGTCTGCCCAGCTGCCTCTCCCTTTGGGCTCCGCCAGACTCCACAGTGCATACGTGGGTTCCATCAGGTCCTCTTCTCCCATGGGGCCACTGGCTAACCCTGGATAGACACGTCTTCTTGCTCTCAGTTCAACAAACATGGGGCCAATTTCTTCTTCCAGGGAAGCCTCCCTGACACTTCTAGAAGGACCCCAGTCATCCCAGCGGGTTGACCACAGCTCACTCTGAGGTCTGTAGGCACATGGTCCCCCCTGCGCCCAGCACCAGGCTCTCGATGCATGGGACCATTCGAGGAATGTCACTGTTTGGGAGGTCAGAAATGCAGGGCTGTCAGCAGTAAACTCCCCCCACCTTCTTCCCAAGACCCTCTTGAGCCAGAGCTGGGGTGTTCAGACAGTAGTCACTAGGGGGCGCTCGGCCACCACAGGGAAGCACTCGCAGCTAGCTGGGTGAACTTGGGAGTGCTGCGTCTGCGTGACAGAACGGGTGTGAGTGTCAATGTGAGTGTGTGTGTGTGTATAGGGGATGAGGGTGTTGGAGGGGAGAGAAGACCAGGGGTCACTCTAGGACTTCAATTAGATCTGTGTCGCTCTCCCCATTGGCCCCTGTCTGTCCCCACTCCAGTGTTCCCAGCTAAGAGAGAAGGAGATAGATGTCTGGCCCTGTCCGCACATAACCTCACTTTTTTGCTCCCTCCTCCCGAATACCCCGCGGGAGTATGTGTCTTTGGGCAGAGTTCTAGGGGGCGGATGGGTAATTTTCAGGCTGTGAACTTTGGTGGGAGATCGCGCTTTCCCTTCACTGGGGTGGGCGGGTAACCCTGGCTTCGCTTGGTGTCCCCGGGGGAAGGGCGAGCCTCGGCAGTTCGTTTCTAGCGCCTGGGGCCGGAGGGGCTGGAGGCGAGGGGGCGAGGCTGGATCTGTCTCCGCCCTCCGGGGCGGGCCGGGGCGGGGACCCGAGGGCGGAGCCAGGCTTTTTTTTTTTTTTAGTCGGCTGGTAGCGGCGAGGAGCTCAGAGGGTTGGGGCCGCAGGGCTGCGAGGCGGCAGTAGCGGCGTTCTGTCGGGAGACGCGGCTGCGAAGCGGACGGACCCGCGAGGTCACCGAGCAGGGGCCTCCGCATTGGAATTTGATATTCGTTTACCTGGGGTTTACCCCCTTTGCTTTTTTCTTAAACATTTTAAAAACTGTGTTCTTTCCCGTTTTAATTTATTTTTGCTTCCCATTCCCCACTTAAATCTGGCCGGCGGTTTGGGGGGTTGCTCCTCTACTCCGCCAAATCACTTTGGATTTTGGAAACCAGCGGAGACAGAACAGAGGTAGCAAGAGCGCCAGAGAGAAGTCGAAAAAGACAGAGAGACGGGGTCAGAGCGCACGAGCAAGCGAGCAACGAGAGGGACAGGGGCAAAGTGAGTGACCTGCTTTTGGGGGTGACCGCCGGAGCGCGGCGTGAGCCCTCCCCCTCCAGATCCCGCATCCGACCAGCCGCGCTGACGGACAGACAGACAGACACCGCCCCCCGCCCCAGCGCCCACCTCCTCTCCGGCCGGCGGCGGACGGTGGACGCGGCTGCGAGCCGCGGGCAGGAGCCGGAGCCCGCGCCGGGAGGCGGGGTGGAGGGGGTCGGGGTTCGCGGTGATGCACTGAAACTTTTCGTCCAACTTCTGGGCTGTTCTCGCTCCGGAGGAGCCGTGGTCCGCGCCAGGGGAGCCGAGCCGAGCGGAGCCGGGAGAAGTGCTAGCTCGGGCCGGGAGGAGCCGCAGCCGGAGGAGGGGGAGGAGGAAGAGGAGAAGGAAGAGGAGGAGGAGAGGGGGCCGCGGCGGCTCGGCACTCGGAAGCCGGGCTCATGGACGGGTGAGGCGGCCGTGTGCGCAGACAGTGCCCCAGCCACGCACGCTCCCCAGGCCCCTGCCAGGGCCTTGGCTCCGGGAGGAAGAGGAGCCCGCCGAGGCGCCGAGGAGAGCGGGCCGCCCCGCCGCCCAAGCAGGAGAGGGAGCGCAAGCCGCTCCGGCCCGGGCCGGGCCTCCGAAACCATGAACTTTCTGCTCTCTTGGGTGCATTGGAGCCTTGCTTTGCTGCTCTACCTCCACCATGCCAAGGTAAGCGGCTGTGCCTGCCTGGCGCCGCGGGCCGCTGCGAGTGCCTCTCCCGACTGGGGACGTGCGTGCGAGCGCGCGCGTGCAGGATCCGTGCCCCACATGGGTCCATGGGCACCAGGAGCGCGGCATCCCCCTCGATCGTCGTACGTGTAGGGGGGCGCGAGCTAGGTGGGAGGGCACCAGGATAGAGTCTCGCCGCCCACGCGGGCCCTGCCCACCCACCAGAGTCAACGCACGTACGATCTGGGCCGACCAGCCGAGGGCGGGAGGAGGCGGAGGGGGCTGGGCTTGTGCTGCCGCCGGCGGCTGAAGTTTGCTCCCAGCTGCTGGTCCCCGACGAACTGGAAGTCCGGGCAGCGGGGGCGGGAGCCGGAGCCCTGCCGGGAGAGGGTGCTCGGACCTTGGACTAAAGAGGGCAGAGAGCGTGGAGGGGGGAGGGCGCAGGCGAGAGAGGGGGTTCGCTGTCACTGCTACTTGGCCTCTTAAGCCCTCGCCGCGAGTTTGGGAAAAGTTTTGGGATGGGTCGCAGCGGGGACCTCACCACCACCACCACGCCGGGCCACCTGCGCCGCGCCACCCCCGCCCGTCCTCGCTCGCGTCCCGCTCGGTGCCCGCCCTCCCCCGCCCGGCCGGGCGCGCGCGGCGCGGAGCCGATTACATCAGCCCGGGCTTGGCCGGCCGCGTGTTCCCCGAGCCGCGGCGGCCCGAGCAGGGAGACCCGGGCGGCGAGCGGCGCCCCTCCCCCCGCCGGCCCTACGCGGGAAGGTGACCTCTCGAGGTAGCCCCAGCCCGTGGACCCGGGGAACTACCCCTACCCGCAGTCCCAGCCCCTTCTCCCCTCCTAGGCCAGGAGGAATTCCCGGACGCCCCTGCTCCCTTTCCCCATTTCCTCCCTAGAGTGGAGAGAAACCCTTGCCATCCTTTATTTTTTACTCTCCTCCCCCCTCCCCCTAGAAGCCCCTATCCCGCCCCTCTCCTGCCCCAGAGTCTGGGGAAAGGACGAACACTGTCAGAAGCCGGGGACTGGAGCCCACTCAGGGCGGTGCTTTGTCAAGACTATACCTAAAGTCGCGACCTGGTGACAGTCTACTTCTCTCCCCTCCCCCACACTTCCGAGTGGAGCTTCGCCTAGCCTTTTTGGGGGTGGCCAAAGGGAAGGTTTAAGGAGTGTCACTATTCCACATTACACTGACAAACCAGCCGTTTGGCCATAGCCCTGCTTGAACCTTCCGAAGGGGCTCCTGCTCCCCATCTCCACCTCTTGTGAAAGGCAATCTTGGCCTTCCACAGCCTTGGGCACCCCCTCCCTCAAATCCTTGTGGTAGCCCAGGAGGAAAAGAGGACTGCCGCCTACCCCGAGAGCCTTCCACACCTACTTTGTCTTGGTGAAGTGGGACATTGGAGCTGGAGCTGGAGCAGGTGGTTTTTGGAACTCCAAACTTGCCCACCCAACTTGCTTCTCAGAGCTACCCAAGGGGCCCCTTTCCTCTCTTCCCTTACACCCTCCTTCAGCCACAGAGTCCCTTTGGAGAGAAGGCAGAAGGAAGGAAATGGGCAAGGGTCTCTGTTGCCACCCGGAGTTCCTCAGGCCCTGGCACAAAGGCCTTGGCTTCAGGCCTCCGGGTGGCGGGGAGGAGGAGGAGTGGCCGCCTGGCCACAGAGTGACCTTCAGAGGCCCCCAGAGAAGGGCACCTGGCCCCTCCCCGCCCAGAACCACCCCTCGTAGTGCCCCCTGGCCTTGGGGGGGGGGGATGTGGGTGTGTGTGAAGTTTCTGTCCTCTTTCCTCGTTGGAGCTCAGGAGGAGTAGAGAGTGTAGGGAGAAGTTGGCAGGGGGAAGCCAAGGGGGTGTTGTGGGATGGGTGAGAGGCAGAGGTCAGAGGGGGTTCCTTGAGGGAGCTGTAGTAGGAGGCTGGCTAGCTGGGAACCTGGGAACTGTTACCTTCTTTTGAGAGGGGCTTCTTCTGGCCTTGGCCCTGGGGGCAAGGCTGGGGTTCTGGGGTGCATTGGGGTATGTGAGAAGGAGAGAGACAGACAAGTGGGACTCCCTCTCTTTGGGGTCTGGAGTTCAGGGTGCTAGAGTGCAGGCCTGCTGCCTGGGATTTGCTCCACAAGAGGAGCAGGTGGGGTGGGGAGTTAGTGAGAACTGGAGACCCTGTGGAAGCGCTGGAAGAAGCCTTTGCCTGCTTGGTGCTGTCAGCTTCACATGGCTGGGCTTGTTGACCTTCACAGCTTCTGGGGAGGGGAGGAATGATCCGGTGGGGGTGGAGAGAGGTGGGGGAGGCCTCAGGCATAGGTAGGGCAGGAGGCCCCCTAGGGGCTGGGCAGTGGAAAGGCATAAAAGGTTTCCCTGGTTGCGTTTAAGGAAGGTGCCCAGGTGAGAGGGGGTTGGGACCCTCTCACTCTGAGAGGGAGAAGAAACTGGGAACAAGGTGGGAGTGGGAAGTTGGGGAAGTTTGAAATACAGTCGGGCTCTGGGGAAATTTGTGCAAGGGGGAGAGAATGGAGCTCCCCGTTACCCCCAGGGTTTCCTCCCAGGTTTTTACCCTCTAGGCAACCTGTGGGTATACACTGTTCCTGAGGACTGGAAGAGTTTGGGTGGGGGAGGGTGGTTGATGCCCTTCGGTCCTCTGCACCCCACTCCCTCCCCAGCACCAGCTCACCCTGGTATTTGTCATGTCAGCAGGAGAAGGTCACCATGTTGTTTTTCTTGCCCCCAGTCCTTCCTTCCTGCCCCAGTCCAAACTTGTCCTCCTATTTGACCTTAGTACTTACCCATGGCTTTGGACCAGGCAATCAGGGAGGCTGAGGGGATTCACTTTTTTCAGCACAGCAGTGGGACAGTGAGAGTGAAGAGCAGGAACTGTGGGGAAGGGGAAGGGTGTTTTTCTCCTAGATTTTGAGCTCCCTACCCCCCAATATCTGGTTAGTCTTTAACTTCCTTGGATTCAGAATTGGATCAGGCCAGAGGTGGTGGGCATGCTCTGTGCCTGCTGGGAGCCTCCCACCCCGTTCCCCAACCCCCCTGCCCCCGGCGTTGCCCTGTGTGACTCTGAAGCCTTGGAAAAGCCAGAGGCTGTGGCTGGGAGGGAAGCAAGGAGGGAGGACAGGCTGGTGGCTGGGCCTCTGTGCCCCTGCCCCCTGCCCATGCCTTGCTCTTGTGTCCTCAGTGGTCCCAGGCTGCGCCCACCGCAGGAGGAGGAGAGCTGAAATCCCATGAAGGTGAGTTCCCCTGGCTCTTGGATGGGGTCCCCTGCTTCCCCAGGGAACGGGTGGGGAAGCCCAATTCCTTGTCTTTGGGCCTGTGTGGGGAAGGGAAGGGGACATAGGAATGTGGAGATCAAGAAAAGGAGGTGGATACCCTGAGGTTAACCCTTTCTTGACTCTGTCCCCTCTTCAGGCCCCTGCTAGAAACAGAACTTGTTGCCTTTTTCTTCTGCTCCTTCTAGTAAAATTTTATTTGGATAGGGAGCTATGAGCACAGACCAGAAAGAATAACAGTGTTCAAGGATCCCAGGTGTCTAGGAGGTGCCCCTTCTCTGCCCCCAGGGGAGGATGGATGTACCATTACCTCCTACCCAGCCACGCCCACCTTTGGGTTCTGCGTGGTAGGGGGGGACCCTTTCTGTCGAGAGAGCTGGCTGTGTGTGAGCTGGAGGTGCATAGCCCAGCCTAATGAGACTCCCCCCATACCCCCCCACCCCTGTTTGCATTCCCTTAAAAACAAACAGACCAAACCCGTTACCACCGAGTTCATTCTGACTCCTAGTGACCCTATAGGACAGAATAGAACCACCCCGTAGGGTTCCCAAGGAGTGGCTGGTGGATTTGAACTGCCGACCTTTTTGGTTAGCAGCCGAGCTCTCAACCACTGCGTCACCTGGGTTCCTTGCACCCCTCAGAGGTGGAGAAAGCCCTCTGCCCCGCTCGCCTGCCCATGTGGAGTAGGTTTGGGTGCTCTGAACTTCCCTCCCGGACCAGCAGAGGGCTGGCTGTAGCTTTCAGACGCCCCGCCCCCAGCCCAGCCCCCGTTGCTGCCTGCCTTTTGTTCCGCCGTGGTTTGAAGTGTGGGCTCCACCCTTTTCTCTGGGGACACCCTGACTGTCCCCACCACTGCATGTGGCTTCAGCCTGGGAGAGGGGTGCCTGATGCCCACTCCTCCAGCTCTGCCCCCTGAAGACAGAAGACCCTTGGGGTCTTCTTCTAGGCCAGTTTCCCTGAGCCAAATCCAGTGTGGCCTGGGGTCCGGGCCAGGGGCAGTGTTTTCACCTGAAGCCTGGTGGTGCCCAACCGGTTCTGCCTCCTCCTTCCCCACCCAGGAGCACCTTTCTGGGTCCTGGCCTGGCTTCCCTGCATTTGTATGTCCTGTGCCACTGACAGACAACCCCCCGCCCCCCCACAGTGTGCCACTGTCCCCCTCAGCTTCCCAGTGGTCTCTGGTCCGGGAGAGGCAAGACAAATGGTCTTTGTTTGCAGGAGAAAAGGTTGTCTGTGATAAAGAAAACCACAAAAGCCTCATGTTGGAGTGTATGTATGTACATGATCTGTGCACAAGAAGGGCACCTTTCCTTGGAGGCAGTGGCTGAGTGTACAAAGGGTGTTGGTGATATTGCCCCCTCCTCTACCCCCACCCCTCCACCTTTCACTGGCCTTGGAGTTGCCAGGAGAAGTTTTTTGAAGGAATGCCCAACCCAAGTCTTTGTACCTTTAGCTACCAACTGCCATCACCCAGGCCAGACTTTTCTGTCATCCCTTCCTTGGTAGAGCCTTGTGGCCCCAAATCCCAGGCCACCTCTGTCCTCAACCACAATGAAGTGTCGGTTCAAGAATTCTTAGTCATCTTCTTCAGTATAGACTTGGCTTAAAAAAATGACTTCTTCAGAGCCCTGTCTCTTTTACTTTTTCAGTGACTCTTTACCTTAATTCTTTGGGATTAAGACTCTGTGCTCATCGTCTGGGTAGGGCAAGTAGAGGTCTCGGGCAAGGCCAGGGACTGGTTTGGTTCTCCTATTTTCACACCTGTGTTTTATCATTGCACCTTGTCTCTAACCAAATTCATCTTAACGTATACACACCCCTGGTCTCATCTTCCTTTTCCCTTCTAGAAAGCAAACTGCGGAGGTAGGAGCAGAGGGGAGACTCAGCTACGGTCTCTGGGGCTGGGCAGTCTATGGGGTAGACACTTAAGAAGCTTTGGTGAAGTTCTAAACTTTGTGTTACCTGCGCTGAGAAATGAGCCCCTGTTCTTGGGGCTGGGAAGTGGAAGACAAACTACCCCATTTCTACCTCCATTTCAGTGACTTTAGTGATCAGTCTAACCCTGTTATGGAGTGGTGAGGAGTTGGATGGCCCAGGGAGGGGAGGGACTGGCCCAAGGTCACACCAAGACATGGAAAGAGGCCAGGTCTCTGGGTTCGTTTTCTTTCCTCCTGTGTTGGGGAAATGCATTGCAGAGACAGGATTGCTATGTGGTGGTAGTGGGGGTGTGTATGGGGAGTGGCTAAGCCACAATTTAGAGAAGTCATTCCTGAGTTCTGCATTTATTTATTCTCATGGGCCCTGCCCCCGTGGCCCAGAATTACCCCTTCATGCTCTGATACACCCCAGGCTCTGCAGCCAGCATGGGAAGCTGTCTTTACCCTGGTCTCCCTCCAGATCAGTTTCTAGAAACACTCTGTAGCTGCAGTGGCAATGCTGTGTTTTCCATGATGCAAGCAGTTTGCCCTTTGGGCGGGGTTATCAGTGGTTGGCAGGGCCTGTGCAGCGTGCCTGCCCACTGCCACCTGCTGATTCCAGGTAGACCAGTCCCTGTGCTGAGGCCTACTACCTCCTGAGCCCAGGTCCAGGGAGGGGGTCTGGCAGGTGACAAAATGCCCCCTGAAGCTGCCCCTCTGTCTTTGCATGACCTAGGCATGGAAGACTTTGATGTCTGAGCTGATTTGAACTCCATCACTTATTAGCAGTGTGGCCTTGGGGCAAGTCACTCTCTGAGGCTCCAATTCCCCATTTGTAAAGCAAGGGTCCCAACAGTACCTAGTAGTACCTGTGGGGAGAATTGTGTGAGATGATGTGTATGGAATGCTGTACACAGTGCTTAAAGCTCATAATATGTTCTCAATAAATGGCTGTTGGTGTGGTTAATGCTATAGCAGTGGCTGTGGGGAGCTTATAGAGAAATGGGAACAGGTTGGCAAAGTCGGCAGTTCCTCCTTTAAGGGAAATCACATATAGCACTTGGCAGGGTTCTTAGTACCTTCCCACCCTCAACAGGTATGCCCACACTCATACTCTCCCCTGGCATCAGGGTTGAACCAGGAGTTGGCTTAGCTGTCACGGTGAGGTGGGGTGATCAGATGTGGCAGGCTATCCCCTTTGGAACCTGACAGCATCCTGTGAATTTTGGAATAAAAATAAAGAGTGTTGGTGGTGGAAGACTTAGGAAGGGGCTTCAACCACAGCAGGAGGGACTCAGGTTAGATTTTTGGAAGGTCTTCTCTGACAGTGGGCACCTCTCACAGAAGCCCTGAAGAGTGGTTTTACAAAGCTGGGTGGTGACAGGGGCTGACCATCTCCTGTGTGACCTTCTGGGTTCATATGTTATCCCCTCCCGCGCAGTGGTGAAGTTCATGGACGTCTTCCAACGCAGCTACTGCCGTCCAATTGAGACCCTGGTGGACATCTTCCAGGAGTACCCCGATGAGATCGAGTACATCTTCAAGCCGTCCTGTGTGCCACTGATGCGGTGCGGGGGCTGCTGCAATGATGAAGCCCTTGAGTGTGTGCCCACTCAGGACTTCAACATCACTATGCAGGTGGGCACCTTTGGGGAGTGGGATGGGGAGGGCACGGGGCTGGGATGCGCATTAGACTTTGGGAACAGCTGGTTCCAGGTCCTCTCTTGGGAAGCTCTTGAAAGGAGGAGCCGGACTTATCTGGCTAGCACCGACCTCTGAGTGGGTCTGGAGAGGTGGGATGGGTATCTTGCTCTGGGCCCTCTTTGGAGGAGAAGAAGCCTCCGTTGCCCATGTTCCCAGCAAGCCCTGATCACCTTCTTCTCCTTGGCCTTTGCCCCCTGGGCTCAGGAGGGGGCTAGCACCTATGACAGGAGCCCCTCTCTCCCTCTCTTGGAGAGAGCCCTGAGGGCCCTCCCTCCTTGGGTGCTCTGTTCAGGAAACTGGTGAGCCAGTCTTTTGTTGCAGCCTGGTGACAGGGCATTTCTCAGCCTTGATAGGGCAGGAGGAAGATCTGAGACACAGGGAAAGGGTGGCTGTTGGGTAGCTACTAGAGGTCAGGATGAGGCCTCACAGAGATGAAAGGAGGGGAGGGGACGGGGAGTGGTGAGAACTAGGACTCGAATTCCCAGCCTGGCCAACCCTTGTAGCCACCTCGGCTCTCAAGAGGAGCAGGGGCTCCCGGAGGTCAGCAGGGTTGAGTGAGTTGGGGTGGGCCTGAGGCTCTTCCCAGTCAGAGCCCCTGGTTCCCTCTACCTCCACAACTCATCCCTGCTCTATAGAACCCCTGGGTGCTGAGTGGCAGGAGCCCCAGGGGTGTCCAATCCGGGTATGGCTGGCTGGGTCACTAACCTCTGTGATCTGCTTCCGTCTCCCCAGATTATGCGGATTAGACCTCACCAAGGCCAGCACATAGGAGAGATGAGCTTCCTACAGCACAGCAAATGTGAATGCAGGTGAGGCTGGAGACCTGGGTTCATGTGCATAAGCAAACGGCTGCAAGGTGCCTGCTCTGTGCTGGGATTAAGCACGTCCCACTTGCTAGCCCATTTCCACCTTGGCAGTTTGCTTCAATGTGCCTCCGTTTCTATATCTGTAAAGTGGGCACAGTAATAGTATGTACCTCGTAGCATTGTTACAAGGATTAAGTGAGTTATTATACGTAAAGGGCTTAAAACAGTGCTGGTACATCGTAAATATTACATTAAGTTTGTGAACAGCTGCTAATCTAAGGGTTGATGGTTTGAATCCATTCAGTGGCTCTGTGGAAGAAAGCCCTGGTGAACTGCTTCCATAAAGATTACAGCCAAGAAAACCCTTTGGAGCAGTTCTACTCTGTAACATGGGGTCACCATGTCAGGGGCTGACTCGACGGTAGCTAACAGCAATAATTATTATTATCATTATTATCATCACCATCTTAACTCCTCTCTCTATTTTGTTGTTTTCCCTCATCCACTGCAGACCAAAGAAAGAAAAAGCAAGACAAGAAAAGTAAGTGGCCATGACTTTAGCACGTCTCTGTCTCCTTGGTCTATTGCCTTGTTTTGGGACTCTTGGCTTCCTCTGTTGGGGGTCTGATGGCCTCACTGGGTCAGGAAGTTGGTCTTTTGGGGACTGGTGGTGGCAGCAGTGGGATGGAGCAAACTGCAGGATTATGGCTGTAGGGTGAGTGAGAAAACCCAGCCTGGAGCTTCCTGTGGAAGAGACAATGCCCGTCAGGTCTCAAGGTCATTCTTGGCCAGGATTCGGTGTTTTGGTGTGTTGGAGGGCAGCGTGAGCACTGGCTCCTCGGCCTGCTCTAGGGCCCCCACAGTGGGGAGAGGGAGTGGGGTGGCAGAGAGGCCAGCTTTTGTGTGCCGGAGGAGACGGCCACTTACGGTGTGGCTCCTGTGGTGATACAGTTGGCCAGCTGGGATGTGTTCTTGGTGCATGCCCTCCTGCAGGAGTGGGACCAGCAGGAGAGAGAGTTGAATGTTGGTCATTTTCTGAGGCAATTTTCTAATGCTTAGCAACTGAGGGTCAGATCAGCATGGGACGGGGCAGGGCTTGGGGGCAATGAGTCTTCAAGACAGATGAGCAGCTGGCATCAGGGATGAGCTTACAGTGAAAAAGAGACTGAGAGAGAGCACCTATGCCCTTCCCTCCTCCCCATCCTTCCCCATCACTCTGCCTGCCCCCAATGCTCTGGGACATTGAGGCCCCCTAAGGCCTCAACCCCTTACCCCTTGCGTAAGTGTTTAACTTCCAAGATCACTGTGGCTACCAGAGAAATGATTTGGGAGAGCTGGCTCAGAGAGACAGACAGAGAAAGTTGTGTGTGAAGACCCCCCGACCCCTTCGAGTTCCTTCTGCTGAGGGGGAGCTAGACATGCCCCTTTCCTGGGACCCTTCTTGCCTCCCTCCTCATTTCTCCCCCTGTTGGCAAACACTCTGTGTTGCCTTCCCTCTCAGGCTGGCAGGTATGGAGCGCGCTCATTCCTTTGTGGGGGACAGGCTACAGCCTCCCCCCTTACTTTTTCCCCAAATTCCTGCTTTGCCCACGGGGAGAGCAGGGGGCTCGCCTGGGCTCGGGAGTGAGCCTGGTGAGATGGTGCAGCAGGATTTGACAGGCTGGGGAGAGAACTTTCTGCCAAGTGACGTCCAGGCCCCTCCTTCCCACGCCTCCCCCACTCCCACCCCACCCTAGTGCGTGCCTGGGGCTCTGACAACACCCAGCCACGCCTCTCCAGCCCAGGTTATGACTGGGCGGGCTGGTACCTTTCATATGCCGCCCTTGGTCTTGTGCCAGCACCCAATGTAGCTGCTCCCCGCTACCATAATTCCCAGAAGCAGGGCCCCGGAGGGACTTCCTTGCTATTACACTTGGAAAGTGGAAGCAGAAGGTGTCCAAAGCATGGTCCCTTCCACAATGTCAAGTCAGGTCTCTGACCTCCCCACATTCTGGCCTACCTCCCGTCTCCCCTTGGCCTTTAGGCCAAACTGGTCCAGGGTTGCTGGGGAAAAGCCTGCCTTTGGAGCTTGGCCCTCTGCCTATGACCAGCACCTGCTACCAACAGGGAGGCTCTCTGGTCCTATGCCCTCTATCCAGTCTTTGCTTCCTACCTAAAGACATGCCTGGGGCTAGGTTTGCCACCACAGGGTGGCCAGAGTGAGGAGGAGGAGGAGACACTGGTTGCATGTGTGTGAGCTATCTCCTGGAGCCCCCTTCTCTCATGCTCCAGGGAGACTGTCCTACACAGTTCGTTTTGGTTTTCCCACCCTTGTCCTCCCTACTACTACTTTTCTTTTCCCTTCCCCCTCGCTGTCTCTCTGTCTGTCTCTGTTTTTTATTTTCCAGAAAATCAGTTCGAGGCAAGGGAAAGGGGCAAAAACGAAAGCGCAAGAAATCCCGGTATAAATCCTGGAGCGTGTACGTTGGTGCCCACTACTGTCTAACTAATTCCCTGGCGCCTTCCTGGCCCCCAGTCAAACTCCTGCTTGTAGAATCCCGTAACCCTGCCTCTTTCCTCCCTCCCTTCAGGCCCCAGGGTCTCTCTCTCTCACTCTCACTCCACTAATTGGCACCAATGGGTAGACGTGGTGGTGGCCTTGTTGGTCCAGGGTTGGGGTTGGATGGGTAGGGTGGGTAGACTGGGCCTGGAGGATTCAGGGAAGGAACTCTGGCTTGGCTGGGCACCGACTTTCTCTCATCCACTGGGTACTGGTGGCGGGCCCATGTTGGCATGGGTGCCGGGCACAGGTGCCTGCTCACCCAACTGGTTTCCATTGCTCTAGACTTCTGTACTTGTCTGGAAGCTGAGGGGAATGGGGAAGGCAGATGTTGTGTGAGGAAAGGGTGCGAATGAGCTTGAGGCAGCTGGTTGTTGGCTGAAGGAGGAGGTTGGCATGGTCAAGCACCATCATGGTGGCCCGTCCTCATTTGGGGACCTCAGCTTCTCATGGATTTGGGGCCTCTGGAGGGGAGCCGCTCATTCCAACCCAACCCGTGGCACCACAGAACCCTCCCTGCAGGGCAGCTCTTCCCTGGGCTGGAGGCTGTGGTGGGTCCTGCCCTGGGCCCTTGGCCACCAGTGGCCTGGCCTGTGCATACCACTTCAGGGATTGGCCTCCCATCGTGCCCACCTTTTCTGGAGGGACCTGAGCATGAGCCTCATGCAGCGAGAAGGTTGCCTGTGGTGACCTCAGTGGCCCCCAATTGCTGTCCCCAACAGGTAAAGAGTTAAGGTATGCTCTTTTGGGGGTGGCAGCAGTTGGGGCCCCATGGCCCAAGACCTCCCCAGCATCCATGGGACACAGCATTGCCCCTTTTGGCAGCCTTCTCCCTGCATCTCTGCCCGTCTTTGCCCACCTCTTCCTGCGGGCAGGCCTCCTAGCCAGTGCTGCCTCTCTCGCCGCTCTCTCTGTCTTCTGCTATAGTGCTGGATCCTTCCAGGGTGCAGAAGGGCGTGTGGGCCGATGAGCTGGGTGGGGGTGCAGCTGTGGACGTGTTAAGGGATGTTGCATGGTGGTTTTTTTTTCTCTTTCTCTGCTGACGCTCTAGCTTAGATGTCTTTCCTTTTGCCTTTTTGCAGTCCCTGTGGGCCTTGCTCAGAGCGGAGAAAGCATTTGTTTGTACAAGATCCGCAGACGTGTAAATGTTCCTGCAAAAACACAGACTCGCGTTGCAAGGCGAGGCAGCTTGAGTTAAACGAACGTACTTGCAGGTTGGTTCCCAGAGGACCAGGTTGGTTCCTAGAGGACGAGTGATCGAGTCAGAGAGGGACCTCACGCAGAGATGGAGAGAGAGATTGAGAGATTGAGAGAGAGAGAGAGAGAGAGAGAGCATGCACGCCTGAGAAGGGCCAGCTGCTTGCTTGTCTTCTAGGTGCCTGCCTGGTGATTGCTACTTTCTCTTGCTTGCAAGTCCCCTGTGGTAGGCAGTGGGTGCTGGTCTGGCCTGGCGGTGCCTGTTCAGAGGCTGCCCTGGTTGCCTGAGTGGATAGGCTGATGTGGCTTCATGTGGTGGTGTGGACGCCAGCTGTGTGTTATGTCCTGTGGTCTTACTACTTGTGGTGGCTGTTGGTCCTAATGTGATTACTACTTCTGCTACTAATACTGGGAGCCCTTCCAGGTGTGTGGAATGCTACAGTTTACAAAGTGGCCTGGCCATAGCCCTCTGCAGTCTGCAAGGCTGGGCTCCTAGTCCCTCAGTGTTTCTCCATGGGGGTAAAGGTCGAGCTTCCCCCCTCAGACTGGGTACTCCCTGAGGGCAATGGCCCTGGCTCTTGGTTTAGGGTGAGAAGTTCTTCCTATTTGTTATAGAAGATTTAGCATCCAAAGACACTAGATACTTTTAATCCTCTGCTAGTTGTGGTGACAAACAGCCCCACACATTTCTAAATGCCCCCAGGTTGGGTGGGGCAGGAGGCCAGACCTACTGTCCTAATATTAGCTTATAAACTCCTTACAGCCGGCCTGGTGTATTCCCCTTTGTGACCGTCCTTTGTCCACAGTGGGGACCAAGGCAGTGTTGCATGCATGAACGAGTACATGACCAAGTTCAGGGGCTGAGGTCAGGAGCACAAGGCCAGGGTGGGTGGCTGGCAATCTTTTTATGCCTGGACTGGCCTGTCCTCTGGGCCTGGATAAGTTTCCTCTAGGGCAGAGGGCTTTTATGGGACCCCCAGGCAGGGCCGGGGTACTCTCAGCTAGCTGAGACACTGCATTAACAAAGCCCTTGGAGAGTGGCTGCCCACCCCCTGCCCAGCCAATGTTCTTGTGGCTTTCGGTTGCTCAGGGGACCACGCCTGTGTTGCTGGTCTGTCTTGGTGCTAAGTGAAGATTGGAAGTGTATTAGTGCTGAGGGCCAGGGAGGTCTGCATGACTCCAGGGCTGGATGAGGGAGTCTCCGCATCCCAGGGGGAACCAGGGAAGATAAGGGACTTGACCTTTTGGGGTTTTTTGTGGTGATTATTCTGTAGAGAGGCTGTCCGGGATGGGGGATGGTCGAAGAGACCTGGGAGCTAACTGAAGTTACCTAACTGCCAGAGTACTCCCCTGATCCCCAACCTGGCTGTATCTGGAAATTTCAGTTCCCCCAATTGGAAGCTCAGTGTCCCCATTCCCAGGCTCTCCTGAAGGACAGGCCTGTCCTGCCTCCTGCTGCCAGTGGGGAGGGTCAGAGACAATCAGCCCAGGGGCAGAGGCCCCATGAGAAGGTTATTTGAGGGCTCTTCTGCTCCAAGCCACCAAATTGACTCTTCCTACCCTAAATTCAACACTGTATTAAAAAGGAAAGGCAGCCTGGCACCTGCGGCCTGCTGCTGCCACTAACTCAAGGGAGAGGAGGCAGGGGGAGGGCACGGGGAGGGAGATGTGCCCCTCGCCTTCCTAGGGCCCCAGGCCCCTCCGCCTCCCCCTGCTTTGGGAACTATCACATGTTCATTCCTCGCTTGCCCAGAGCAGCCCCTCCCCTTCGGCTGTCTGCTCCAGAAATCTCCTTCTGCAGGGAGCCTTTGCCTATGGCCTCCATCCTTCATCCAACTCTGACCACCCCTCAACTCTAAAATGTCAAGTAGGGATTGCTCTTTGGTACTTGCTGATTTGTTGCTTTGTAAAATGTTTTATGTTCTTGTCTTGTTGTCTTAACTAGATTGTAAGTGGTCAAGGGCATGTGCTGTGGCTTCCCATCAGATTGGGAGCCCCCGAGGATAGCTGCTGCTCAGATTCCTAAGACTTGGGGCTCCCCGAAGGCAGCACCACACCTTCCCTGTTGTGTCTGCGCCTACATGCCAAAGGGCTGCAGGCACCCTGCACAAACGGGGGGCTGCTTGCCCCATCAGGCCTCCTCACCGGCTCTAACCCACAGCCTCTGTTTCCCACCCCTGGCAGATGTGACAAGCCGCGGCGGTGAGCTGGGCTAGAGGAGGGAGCCTCCCTCGGGGTTTCGGGAACCAGACCTCTCACCTGGAAAGACTGATACAGAACGCCCCAGAAACCACGCAGCTGCCGCCGCACCACCCTCACCATTGACAAAACAATCCTTAATCCAGAAACCTGAAATGAAGGAAGAGGAGACTCTGCGCAGAGCACTTTGGGTCCGGAGGGCAAGACTCCGGCAGAAGCATTCCCGGGCGGGTGACCAAGCACGGTCCCTCTTGGAACTGGATCGCC